CTAAATAAATGCACTTTTTGACTTTTTATAAAAAGATGTGTGAAAATATAAAAAAAAAATGGATAAAAAAGTAGAGAGAATATGTTGATTAATGTAACACAAATAAGTGCATGTATGTAAAAAAAAAAAATACTATTTTTTAGGCACGCCAAACAAGCACTAAAATTAAGATTGATGTTGGGTCGGGTCGGACTTGAGATTAGGGGTGGACATTCGTCAGGTCAAGTTGGATTTGGATCGGGTCGACACTACATAATAAGGGACTTTGTGGGTGTCCAAGCCCGACCCAGCCCTAATATCGTGGATCTACATTTGCCCAAATCCAATCTAAAAAATAATTATAAATTCTAACTCCACCTATCGGGCTATATGTTTAAAAAAAAAAATTCCGTTATTAAATTCAACCACATGTTATATTTCTTAAATAAATATACTGATATGATTATAAATTAAACAATTTTGTGTATAAAAGACCTTTTTTTAAAAATAAATAAATAAATAAATAAACTCAATAACACATCACCACAAATGTGAGTTTCAATAAAATCAACAAAGATAAAGTATAGAACTCAACAAAAAATAAATTTTTTAATATATTATAATTAATTAATTAATTTAATAGTGGGTCGGGCCAAGCTAGGTTGGAAGTATAAATTCCAAACTCAACCCATTAATATATTAAGCTAAAAATATCAGCCCAACCCGACCCTATAGACTAAAGCAATTTTTCTAAATCCTAAAAATATCAGACTTAGATATGCAAGATGGGCACAGGCCAATGGCCACCCCTACTCTATATTATGTATTTTGTATAAAAGAAACTATTAATCAAAATATATTTTAAAAATTAAAAAAAAGTACACTAAAATATTTGCATAAATAATTTAAAAAATTATCAAATTATACATTTACTTTAATGTTAATTTTCCACAAAAGTATCCCGACACCGTCACCCACTCACGCACCACCACCACCCGTCACCTACCCGCTACCACCCACCACCACCCACCATCCGCCATCCGCCACCCACCTACCACCACCACCACCCACTCGCTACCACCTACCACCCGCCACCGTCAACCACCAACTCACCCACCACCACCACCCAGCCGCCACCACCCACCACCACTAGCTACTCACCACCCACCGTCACCACTTTCCACCACCGTCTTCCGCCGCCACTTACCACCACTTGTCATTTCTCACTATTTTTTATATTTTTTAAATTTTTAAAATATTTTGTCAATTACCAAACGCGTTTGTAGTTTATGTTTTTCTAAAAATATAAAAAAAGAAGCAAAAATCAGTTTATAAATTTTTTGTAAATATAAACTGAAAACGTAAACGTTATCAAACACACTTAGTATTTTTGTTTTTCAATTTTTTGGCTTTTGTGAGGTCATTTTGTTTAGTATTTTTAAAAATAATTTTTAAATTTTGAATCTATATTTTTGTTTTTAATGATTTTTTTAATATTTTAGTAAATTTGTTTTAGATAAGCATAATTGATATATATTTAAAAAATAAATCTTTGTGAAAAAATCTTAAAAAAAATCAATAAATACAAAATATTACAAAAATGATTGAATTTTTATATTTTTTTGTATTTAGTGATTTTTTAAAAGATTTTTCACAATTTTTTTATATCTAAAGAGTAAAAAAAAAGATTAAAATTTTTAAGAAGTTCACTAAAAATCAAAAAATACAGATTGACTATTCAAAAATTATTTTTGAAAACTCAAAAACCAAGCAGAATAAATGTGTTTGAAATGATTTTTTGAGTTGAATATATATGAGGGAAAAATGATTAATTAATGGGTACAACATGACCTTTAAAAAAAAATTGAAAAACTTACAAAAAAAAAATCATAGGGTTTGACAATTGTGATAAAATAAATTCTAAATTTTTAATTTTGTCAATTTAAATATTAATTTTTTTATTTTTTCAATCTAAACTCTTTGTATATTTTCGTTAACTAAAATTGATGAAAAAATTAATATTTTAATCATTAAACTCAATAAAAAAATATTTTAGACATTTTATATAAATTTATATTGAGTTTAAAAACTAAAATATTATTTTTTTCATCAATTTTACTTAATAAAAATAGACAAATGATTTAGATTGAAAACAAATCAAAATATTAATTAATATTTATTTTGTTAGATGACTCAAATCCTAAGATATTTTTGTAATTGTCCCAATTGAATTTGTTAATTTTTTTACTCTTTTTTTTTTATTTATTAAACCAAAATATGTCTCGCCAAACAGGGCCATAGTTTGAAAATAAGAGGGTGTTTGGAAAGATCCAAATAAATATACTTTATTTTAAAAAATAAAAAGATAATATAACTTAAAAAAAAATTTACAAATTTAAAAAATAATGCCTAAAAAGCATCAATTAAGACTACAAATGAACCGAGTTGTTTATGAATAAGCTCAGCTCGGCTTGGCTCGGTTCGGTTCGTTTAATAGACGAGCCGAGTTCAAACTTGCATACAAGTACTTGCATTTACAAAATAAATTTTTTAAATGAATCAAGTAAGATTTTAGAGAAAAAAAAAATTGAAGATTTTGGTTTTTTAACCTTGTAAAAAGTTAAAAAATATTGTTGTTGAGTTATTGTTACTTGAAAATTAAAAGTTTGTCTTTATTTGCTTTCTTTATTAAGAATGGTTGATAAGGAATAGTATCTAAAAGGAAAAATGTGAAGTAGTAAATATGGGAACCCGTGTTAACTTCTTATCTAGACCACGTAAACATTATTTAAAACAATATTTTCATTGATTTAAGTTTAGGGTTTGGTTTGGCATAACCTACAAAAGTTAAAAAATCAAAAAATTATTAAAAAAGTCAAAAAGTCCATACTATTTGGGGGATGCTTGTGGGGGAAGCTTAGAGGGCAAAATATTCAACTATCCAAAAGTCAAAAAGTCAACAATGGTAGAATGGTCATTTTGATTTTACAATGATAGAGACCCCCACAAAACACAACCCCCAAAATGATCTGAACCATTCATGTCACTGGGGGTGTTTGGTGCAGCTTTTTTAAGCCAACTTATGGCTTCTGGCTTTTAAAAAGTTATTTTGGACTGTTTGGTTAAACTTATTTCAAACAGCTTCTGATTCTAACAACTTATTTTAAGTCAAAAAAGCTGATTCTGAGAAGCTGCTCACCCCTTGCTTCTGATTATCAGCTTCTGCTGTGGACATGTTAATTCACGGTTATACTCTTAGATTTTTTTATTTTTTATTTTTTTAAAAATAGAAAAAGACTCAAATGGACTATTAAATATTATTATTATTTTTTATGAAAAATGTAGACAAATAGTGAATAATAAAAAATAAAAATTAATTGAAAAAGCCACTTCACAGCTTATTTAACAAACACTACTCAGCAACTTAAATCTATAATCCAACAGCTATACCAAACAGATTAACAGCTTCTGATTAAAGTCATAATCTATAATCTGTTAAGTTATAATCTATAATCTGTTTTAACAGCTACACCAAACACCACCATAACCGTGAATTAACATGTCCACAGCAGAAGCTGATAATCAGAAGTTAGGGGTGAGCAGCTTCTCAGAATCAGCTTTTTTGACTTAAAATAAGTTATTAGAATCAGAAGCTGTTTGAAATAAGTTTAACCAAACAGTCCAAAATAACTTTTTAAAAACTAAAAACCATAAATTAGCTTAAAAAAACTGCACCAAACACCCCAGAGACTTGTTAAGCCACACCCATGACTCTCTAATCCAAAATTCGTTTTCTTTTTAACAGTAGTAGCATGGTGGCAAAACCGTTTCACCCGAAAACACGCAGAACATCTGTGATGTTGCTTTGAAATCACGCCACGTGTATCCCAAAAACAAACTAACGCCAAGTGTCCAAGTTCAACACGTGTGAAGTCCCAAACAAACAACACGTGTTCTCACTTCAAGCCCATCCCATGAAAAATTCATGGAATTACCGTACACAATTATCATTATCCACATTACTTGATTGACCCTCTCTCCCGAAATCGAATTTGTCATAACGAAAATTTTTAATTTCACATGTGGTTATCCTATTATTAGATAAGGTTTCATTCGGGTAGACGTTATTTTAATAATTTTTTAATTAAAATATAAGATAAAAAAATTAATATATTTTATAAAAAAATGTGTAAAAAATAAAAATAAAAAGAAATTTTTAATTTTTTAATATAAATTATAAATTTTTTAATTTTTTTAATAATTTTTTAATTTTTAAACTAAAATAACTATTTCTCAAACGAGACCTCATTTAAACTCTCATGGAGTTACCGTACACAATTAAAATCCACATTACTTCATTGACCCTCTCTCCCGAATTCAAATTTGCTAAAATAAAAATTTTCAATTTCACATGTGTAGTTAACCTATTATTAGATTAATTTAAACTCTCATGGAGTTACCGTCTACAATTATATTATTCACATTATTTGATTGACCCTCTCTCCCGAATCCGAATTGGTTAAAACTAAAATTTTCTATTTCAGATGTGTAATTAACCTGATATTAAATTAATTCAAATTTATATTAATGTTTTAAATAGTTCATCTTATACACTTAAATAAAAAAATTACTGATATAAAAAATTAAAATTTTTCAGTATTAATTAAAGAGCAGTTTTGTTATCGTCAACTTACAACCTCAGGATCTAAACCTCATGTTGCACACCCATTTGAGTGTGCTAATCTTCTTCTTATTATTATATGTGAACACATGATTTCGCATCATTTGAAAATAAATTATTTTAATAATTTTTTAAATTTTTATAATATATATATATATATATATAAATAATATAACAATTTATAATGTTTTTTTAAAATTTTTAACTAAAATATTTAATTTCCATAGTATTAGAAATTATAATGCACCATCTTCACATGAATTTAACTTACACAAATCCAAATTCTACAAATTATAATGCACCATCTTCACATGAATTTAACTTGGGCAAATCCAAATTCTACAACACCCACCCCCCTCTTCTGTTTGTTTACCATTTTTACCTTCTCTCTCTAGCCTGTGTCTCTGTGTGGAGCCCAAACCGGTCCTCTGCTTTGCTGGCTTCAAGCTCTCCATAGTTGGTTCTTAATGGGGTTTGTCTGCTGAGAGAGACCAGAGTTTCAGTTGGCCTAATCAAAAACTCATTCTCTCTCTCATTCATAACTTGTATTCACTTCTTTCTCTCTCTTTGCCTTACTTCTTCCATCACCTCCATATACTCTAAACAATACTGAAAACAACAACAATCAAAACCCAGTTTCAATTTCTCTTCGATTTCATCGATCCCCAGATCTCTCTCTCTCTCTCACTGCAGATCCTCCTACCTTTCAATTCCATAGGTAAGACTTTTGCAATTTATATATGTATATGCAGTTATTTTGGATTTTAGAAAATAGGGTTTCTAATTTTCTATGCTGACTGAGTTGTATTGTACCTTATTGATTTGAAGCTTCTGACCAAACAGGTTGTATGACGAAAAAGTGAATTTGACCACTCTTGTTTCAAAGTCCCCCTTTTAAGTTTTTCTCGTATTAGCGGCTATTGTGGTCGTGGGTTTTCTGTTTCATGACGAAACACAAATGAGTTTAGCATATAAAGCTCTAGCTCCATAGTTTTCTTGCAATTCTCAAGCTGAGAACTGAACAGAAATTTGGCTTTTTGATGTATAGTTGTTTCTATGATCTGTTAGGTTTTGATGTGTTACAAATTCTGATTTTTGAGCTTTTCTTTTCTTGTTTTTGATGTTGATGTAGACTTTTAAGTTTTATAGATATTCATTCTGTTGTGTGCAGTAGAGCAAGGAACAGTTCACAATTTGGGTTTGTTTGGGTCAGAGTTATTTCTAGTTGTTATCAGATGTGGAGAATTTGTAGGGTGGTTTGGGGGTGAAATGAGGTATGTTATCTGGGTTAATGAACTTATTGAGGGCCTGTTTTCGGCCGAGGTCTGATCGATACATTGGCAAGGGTTTGGATTCTGGTGGTCGCCAAGATGGGCTTCTATGGTACAAAGATATAGGACAACATTTTAATGGTGATTTTTCAATGGCTGTAGTTCAAGCCAACAATTTACTTGAGGATCAGAGCCAAATTGAGTCAGGTTGCCTGAGTACGAATGACTCAGGGCCGTATGGAACCTTTGTTGGAATATACGATGGGCATGGAGGTCCTGAGACTTCGCGTTACATCAATGAACACCTCTTCCAGCATCTCAAGAGTAAGTCACTTGAATTCTAGTAGAATTTGGAATGGAAATTATTTTCAGTTCATTCAATAATGTTTACTCATTTTGTGTTTTATATTCCATCACAGTTGTTTGGTTGTATTGAAAAATGAGAAGATTGTATATCGTATGTTGTCTTTTATCACATCCAATCACTTCTCGGTTGAACCAAATACTTGTATTAGGCTGGTTGAGTGGAGGTTTTCAGTTTCATGGATTCAAAATAGTGAATAATCCAAGGATTTAACATTTTAGGTACTTCTTTCCTAGAAATTTGTATGTGAATGGATAGACAAAAAATTAAAGGCCATGAACTTTAAAGTATTCTTATTACCTAATTAAACTAATTTATGAGGATTAGATTACTTTTGATTGTGTTTCTTGGGGCTGGAGATCAGATACTCTTTCTTAATCTTTCAGGGTTTACCTCTGAGCAACAATCTATGTCAGTGGAGGTAATAAGGAAGGCGTTCCAAGCAACAGAAGAGGGATTTCTGTCTCTTGTTACGAGACAATGGCCAATGGCAGCGCAGATTGCAGCAGTCGGATCATGCTGCCTGGTTGGTCTTATCTGCAATGGAACCCTTTACATTGCCAACCTTGGTGATTCGCGTGCTATTTTGGGGAGACTTGTCAATGTAACAGGGGAAGTTCTGGCCATTCAGCTCTCAGAGGAGCACAATGCAGCTATAGAGTCTGTGAGACAGGAGCTGCAATCTTTGCACCCGGATGACTCGCAAATTGTAGTTTTAAAACATAATGTGTGGCGTGTGAAGGGCCTTATACAGGTAAGTCTTCTTCTTTGCGAGGGAAGGGTTTGATTGTTGGACTTTACAACTGTATTATTTCCATAAACATTTGGCAGCAACTAGTAATACTAGAGGAATTGGAGATCTTGTCAGTGAGTGATACTTAAACATTTATTCCATTTTTTGAGTTATTCAGAGTTGGAGACTTGGAGAAAATTTTGGTTCTATTTATGTTTTCAGGGTTAGTATTGTTGAGAATATAAATAATAAAATTACACCTCTCTCTAATAGCTTAAACTTTTAGACAATTTGGTGGTCAAACAATTTAACATGATATTAGAACTATGCCTTGGGTGGTCTCGCAAGTCTCATCTCTATCCCAGATTTGTTGCTCTCATTTTGTTCATCTCTCTACCACCTCCCTGTTTGTCCGAGCCGCACGTTTAGGGAGGGTTGGAGACTTGTCCCATTTTGTTTCTCTAAACCACCCAAATTTTAGTCATGTAGTCTATAGGCCTCTTCATGTATTGCCACCTCTAAAAGTTCTAACAACTTATCATGCTTTCAAAGTAAGAAATAGATCATGTGTTCAAACCTCACCACCTACCCGATAATTATAATCCTTGTACATGTACATGTACATGTTTGCCCCCCTTATGAAGGCAAATTTGGCCACACGTGGGAGAGCATGTTGAAAATAAAAATAATAAATTTACCTTTCTATTAGCTTAAGCTTTTAGATGCGTTGGTGGTCAATAATTTAACTAGTATGATAAATGGTTTTTACAGAGTGTTAATGGTAAGGTGCATTGATTGTTGGACATGATGGCTTCTTGAACATTTTAGTGTTTGTGTTCTCTGATGTTTAGGTAATTTTTATCTTGCAGATTTCAAGATCTATTGGCGATGTATATTTAAAAAAGGCTGAGTTCAATAGGGAACCATTAATTGCCAAGTTTCGGCTGCGCGAACCTATCAAAAGGCCGATATTGAGCGCAGATCCATCAATTTCGGTGCACCAATTGCAGCCACACGATCAGTTTATTATATTTGCATCGGATGGCCTCTGGGAGCACCTAAGCAATCAGGAAGCAGTTGATATAGTTCAAAATCATCCTCACAGCGTAAGACACTTGACTCTGAATATTGATGGCTTTTTTGTTTTCCTCATAGAGACTTGTGTAATTGTCATTTTCTTTCATCATACAAGTTACAACACCAATAAGGCAACTATTTATCCTGTACACTTTGTAAGTTTGATTTCTTGCCTGAAAATGGAATCAGATTGGTGATTGGAGGTATAAAGTTACCTTATCATGAAATCAATGAAAGCATTTTCTTAATGGTCTAGTACTATGTTACCATAACATGGATTGTTGCAGTCCGTGGAACAGGAATGGGGACATGATACGCCGCAAACTGTAAAAATATGGTATGATAAGAGTAGGCTTGTGTAGATTACCCAATAAGAATTGAAGGTACTTTTATAATAATTTTCTTTTAACAATTAGACATCAATTAGTCATGTAGCAACAGATTCATATAATAAGCATTATTACCTATTTTTGATGTTTTGTACTGTCAAAACTTCACTCACCTTAGATTTTAATTCATTATAAATATATATTTTTTTACTTGGAAAAAACTTTTGGAATTACTTTTGATCACTAAATTTATTGTTTTAGAATGAAAGTGTACCATATTTTGGAATATTCATTTCAAAACATAGTTTGCTAGGGTGGTAGTAGCATTTTCTGGTAACATTGGTCTAATAACCGAGCATGGAGAAATCAAGAAAATAAAGGAGACAAACAGGGAAAGGGAGAGAGAGAGGGTGAAATCAGGAAAAAGAGAACAAAAATAAAAATAAAAAAGAGAAACAAAAGAGGGGAGAGAGAGAATTAGAGAATACGAAGACGAAAAGGGAGAGTAAAACAGAAAAGGAAGGAGAAGAAGAAGAACAGAGAAGATGAAGGAGACAAAGAAGACGAAGAAGAATACCTCAGGCATCTTCTTTCTCTCTCCCTTGATCTCTTCTCTCTTTCTCTGTCTCCTCTCCCACAGTTAGGGCTTCTTTGATCCACCTCGCGTGTCTGGAAAGCGTCACGGCGTGTCTGATTGGAAAAATTCAAAAAAAAAAAGAAAAGAGGACACGTTAGAGAGCGTGTCTGTGTCCGACACGTGTCCGACACTCGTACGCAGGCCCTGGGGACGTGTCGGTGCTTCATACGTCGTAAATAATGGTAAGTGACGTTAGACAATTGTATATCTAGAATTTTCTATTTGGTTATTTATGCACCAAACTGAAAATTCAGATAATCGTATCTGCAAACATTTTGGCAATTCAGCATGTATATCATTTTTATTCATTGAATGTGACATGATTGAAGAACACATCAAACTCCAAATATTTTTTTTTTAGGAAGAATAGGAAAGAAATTTTACTGTCGAGTTACGTTCATGCAGGGAAGTGCTAAGAGATTAGTGAAAGCTGCATTACAAGAAGCGGCAAAGAAGAGAGAAATGAGGTATTTGGACTTGAAGAAGATCGCTCGGGGGGTCCGTCGGCATTTCCATGATGACATCACAGTTATTGTTGTGTTTCTTGATTCGAATCTCGTGAGCAGAGCCAGCACAGTCAGGAGTCCCAACCTGTCCGTGAAAGGGGGCGGAGTCAACCTCCCTTCCAACATTCTTGCGCCATGCTCAACGCCAACCTAAGATGCTGGCTCTACCTGAGGCAAGATGATTAATGTTATTATGTGTTGTACTATTCTCTTTGTGAATACCAGGTAGCTTCAAAGGAAATGAAAAGCATGCCATCAATTCTTTATAGTACATTTTGTAACCTTTTAACTGATAACTAGTACTTGGGTTTAGTTTCTAAATTCCAAGAAAATAGAACTGAAAAAGGAGAGAGACAACTTCAGGGTGATAATCCTAGAAGTTGTCCTTGGTGAAGTTCTTTTGACTTCCATTGTCTGTGGCTGTTATTCCCTTGCCTTTCATGTAAATCATTGTCTTGGCAAAATGGCAATCTAGAAATCCTATTGCTTTGAAGTAAACTTTTTCACACTTGTTCTCTACCAGTTATAATCATGGTTATCAAAATCATGATCCAAATTATAGGATCGTACACTGTTGTAGAATTTGTATGATAGCGGGATCGCAAATGGAATAGTAGTAGGTAGGATAGTTGGGTTGGTGATTTTTTAATATGCATCGTTCTTGTTATTATTATCTTATTTTTTATAAAAAGTGGAATCTTACTATTTTCAATCTAATCCATGAAGATTCTCACCAATTTGGATCTTAATTTTAAGAGCCATGGTCCTAACCTGGAGAAAAGTTCAGCATTTGGAGTATTGTGGAGCAGGTTTGTGCAACAACACAGAGTTGACATGGGAGCAACTTTCCTTTTTCGATTATGGTGTGTAAAAGAAACAGGTCATTGATGGGGGTTGAATATCGATGAAGCTAGGTTATGGCCTCTGATCTATCAAAAAAAAAAAAAAAAAAGCAGGTAATTGATGGTGGTTGAATATATGATGAACGTAAAATGGACAAAGCCTTTTTGAGCTTTCACGAGGTTTAGAATAAAATTTTATTGTGAGATTTTTTATATTTTAAATTTAAATATAAATAATATTTATTATTTTTTATAAATTATATCTTGTAAAATTTATATCTCTTCAATTCTCATAACTAAAATTTGAGAGTTATTTAAAATATTTAGTTATGAAAAAAGAAGAAATTAAAAGTGTCAAAAGTTATTAAATAAATAAAACTTATAAATTCAAAGTGAAAATTAAGAAAAGTTTATAGAAACTATTTCAGATTGATTGGAAGTTGTTTTGAAGTGAGCTTTTTAAAAATTATATATTATAAGCTTATTAAAATTTATGGAGCCTTTTTAATGTGAATTTTTATTTATTATTATAATAAAAAAAGGTATGCATATGACAAACATATACCAAATTGGTGGATCTTTTTACTACAATTTTAGAACTTTTATTATGCTTATGGAAGTATATCTTATTTTCTTTTTCTTTTGTTGGTTTTGTAGAGGTCTTTATCAAAGTCGACCGAGAAATAATTGAATTTTATTATGCCTATTTTGAGAAGTAGAGTAAAAGTTTATTTTTTGGTCCTTTTTTTTTAAAAAAATATATATAAAAAAATAAAGAAATGATGTGAATCAAAAAAATTAAAAAATTAACTTTGAACTCAATTGCTAAAATAAGCCTTATGGTTAAATATGAAAATTTTGAAATTTTTTTTTGCAAATGAGCTCTAAAGCCATTCCTTCAATTGCCTAACTGGAAATATTCTAGCATTAGATTTTTAACTTTTCAAGGATCAAAGGATGTGGTGAGCCATGTTATGTATTGCTGTTTGATGATGATCCTTTGCTTTGGTAGGAAGTCCTGGCTTTCTTTTAATTTTTTTGAGCATAATAAAGAAATGATGTGAATCAAAAAAATTAAAAAATTAACTTTGAACTCAATTGCTAAAATAAGCTTTTTGGTTAAATATGAAAATTTTTGAAACTTTTTTTGCAAATGAGCTCTAAAGCCATTCCTTCAATTGCCTAACTGGAAATATTCTAGCATTAGATTTTTAACTTTTCAAGTATCAAAGGATGTGGTGAGCCATGTTATGTATTGCTGTTTGATGATGATCCTTTGCTTTGGTAGGAAGTCCTGGCTTTCTTTTAATTTTTTTGAGCATAGTTGAATGAGATAGGGTAGGAATCTCAAATAATTTATTAAATTTTATACTAAATATGTTTGACAGAAAATTTGATTGATTATTTGGGATGCATATATTAGTGACATGATGTGCACATACTAGTTATTCTTAGATATGTTTTTTGTTTTTCATTTATATACATATCTGAATTATTTTTTATATTGTTCAAATTTTAATATGGATAGATAGATTAAAAATTATAAATTATGTACAACTAGTGAAGATTTAAACTCCTAATATTGAATAAATTAAAGGGAACCTAAACTATGAGATAATCATGTGTTTTTATTATTATTGGGTATTTAGGTAAAAGGTCAATTTCTTACATTTTTTACTTTAATTTTTGGGGGGCCAAAAAGCCCATCATAATTTGAAAAATCACCTCTCTCTATCTGTGTCTATGTTACTTATGTTGGGTCATTCCACTATTTATCTTTGTATCACTTATTTATTTATTTACATAGGTCTTATATTTATTTATTTACATAGGTCTTATTTGGAAAGTTAATTGTTCTAATTGACTATTTGATTTTTTAACTATTGTAACCTAATTAAAATAGGTTTATTTTAGGAAGTAAGTTCAAAATTGATTTTTTATTTTTTTATTTTTGTGTATATATATATTTTTTTAAATGTATAAAAATAGAGATGATATGATCTAAAAAGCCAAAAAATAAAGAAAATGTGGCTTCTAGCCGAGTTCCCAAAATAAGCCATAAGTTGTGTTCGGAAAGTTGGTAAACTTTTTTCTTTTAGTTAATTTGATAGTTGTAAGAGAAAAAATAAAATGATTATAAGTTGGATGTGACATTTTGTCTTATTAATTATTTTAACCTATTTTATCTTTTAGTTGACTATTTTAACCAAATTCTCTTCCCAATCAAGGCCTTACCCCACTTATCTATCTATATTGGAGTGTTTGGGATGAGTTTTTTGAGTTTTTTTTTTTTTTTGGTTAAAATAGTACTAAAAGAAAAAATATGATAAAATAGTTAATAAGATAAAATGTCACATCAAACTTATAATTATTTCATCTTTTCTCTCATAAATACTATACAACCACAAAAAAATCTAACTTTCTTCCTAAACACAACTATTCTAACATATTAAAATAATCAAAAACTAAAATAACTTATTAAAATAGTCAACTTTCCAAACAAGGTGATTATCACCACCACCATTGTTGTTGCTAATGACTTTTCTAGCAAACCATTTGTCCACGCGCCATTAAATGTCTTTTGCCTTGTTTGGTACAGTTTATTGTAATTTAAAAGTCGATAATCAAAAATCAGAAGTTAAAAGTACCCTTTCTCCTGTTTCTAGATAATTAATTTTTTTGGGTCTTATTTAAACTATTTCTAACAAATAAATTGTAAGAAAAAGTTGTATCAAACGGTCTAATAAATACTCTTAAATTAAAATAAGTCATAATCAATTCATTTAAACTACACCAAACAACTATCACACAAAAAAATAAAAATAAATCAAACTTTGGACCAAATAACATACGGTCATACACGTGTAAATTTTTCACTAATTATTTTCTTTTAATATGATTAAACATTTTATTATATAGACTACATGAGCATTTTTAATACTTTCTTATTTTATTTTTGAATTATTTTTGAATGAGCTTAAGAATAAAAGCTCAATCCAATTATGGGCTTGGCTGGTCTTCTGTCACTACTTGTACGAGTACAAAATAATCTTATCGTATAATCCTGTCAATCAAGTTTGTACTCCTCCAAATATCGTCGCTTTGCCACCTGAAAACACAAACATGAGTTAATCGGCGGATGTGTGCCTAAGTTAGCAACTAGATAATAGACAATAAGCTCTGCGTATTCTATAGTAGAAATTGTGATACCTGTACATAAGTCCTGCTATGAACTTTTATAGATTCTGTCTGGTACAATCCTAGTAGGATTCCAACTCTCTTTATAAGAGTTCTCTTAGAAATCACACTCCCAGCGAAGAGTGTCTATTTTGATAACACTATACTTACTACCAACCAAGTGAGATAGTTTGCACAATCCTAGTAGGACTCTATGCAGAGTCCTCCTAGGAGTCTCATGCCCAATGATAATGTTTATCCTTAAAACACCCTCATCACTGTAAGCTAAGTGAGATGGCCACACCCTCATACTCAAATATACATTCTTGACCGAGCTGTTTTATCTCGGTCTCCTATTGTTCGGGTCGTGTGATCGGAAAACGAGCTACCAAATGGCACCCTGCCGAGCAATACATAGCTCGGCTCTCTCTATTGACAACATCTCGATCCGATAAAGGATTACCTTTAGATAGCTAGGTCCAGGCCCTGGCAACCAGCCTAGTGTCTTCTTAGCCCAAGACGAGCTACATCAGCTCTTATCTCGACCCATTGCACGACCCAACTTCCAAAAAAGACTCTTCCTAGATCGGCCCAATTTATTGACAAATTACCCTCTCACTACTATAAACTAAGGGGTTGTTTGGGGTGTCCTAAATAAGTGCATTTTTTGTCTTTTTGGACTAAAAAATTGAGATTGAAAATATAGATGTTTGGGTTAACTTTTTGACTTTTTATGAAAAAATGTGTAATAAAAAATTGTAAAAATTGATTTGTAGGGATTTTTGAAGACTAAGGGAAAAATTTTGAATTGGGAGTTGTGCAACTGTAATTGTTGACTTTTGGTGAATAGTGTTAACTTTTTAAGTAACTTTTTGTCTTTTTATATTTTTTGAAAGATCTCAAACTTGCCCTAAATCTAATTAAAAAAATTAGAAAAGCTGGTTCTAATGAGGCCTTAACCATTTTTGGAAAACACACACAAGTTTCTTTATACAAGTAAACAAGGGTTTGAGTCCTCGTTTGCAAAAAAGTTCTTACAAAAAATGTGTTTTGATTAAAAATCTATACTATATATTAAGTAAAATGGAGGTTTTTAACCCCAAATTTTGTGAGAGCTCCAATCTTCCAATTTAAATTTTTTGATTTTTTGATTTTTTAAAAAAAAAAACTTAGCATTTATTAATTTCTCTCAATCCCCAAGTCTTACCCTCATAATAACACTTTAATGCATTAAGAACAAGGATTAAAAAGTCCAACACATATGATTATTATCAAAATATTAAACTTTAATATAATATAAAAAAAGAAAAAAAGAAGACATTTAAAAAAAAAAAGACATTTAAAAATCGCAATTCACATATATAAATAATTGTAAATATATTAAGGAAAAAGGGGTTTCTAAACCCCAAGCCTTGTGGGAGCTCCAATATCTCAATCTTAATTTTTTAAATTTTTTATTAAAAAAAAAACCCTCAGCAT